CTGAAACTGAAAATACAGATGAAAGAAAAACCTAATTAAGAAAATTATATTCATTAACACTTTTTCAATGTGTCGGGAAATACTGTCAATATTCCTTTCTAAGAGAACGATAGAGCTTTGTGCATTTTGTCTGGAAGTTGCTTCCCACTGCCCGTGAGAAAATCCAGTCTCTAACCAGCACGCAGCACCCTCTGCTCTACCCCATTATTCTTCCTAAATTTCTTGCCCTGTTTTCACATTCACAAACATGGAGCTGCTATGGTTTGAGTACGAAACGTCCCCCACAAGCCAACAGTGGTGGTGCTTGCCTGTAATGCCAGGACATCGGAGTTGAAGGCAGGAGGATCAGCAGCGGTTCCAGATCATCCGTGACTACATAGCAAGTTTGGGATTAGCCTTAGTGAATTGAAACTCTGACTCAAAACAAAGTAAGGCAGAACAAAAGGTGACTCCCATAGGCTTGTGTACTTGAATACATGGTCCTCCACTGACCGAAGGTTGTAGAAGCTTTGGGACTGTGGCCTATTTAGTAGAAGTGAATTGCTGAAGGTATGAATCAACTTCAGGGTCCTATCTGAGCTCTTTGTTTCCTATTTGCCTCTAGGGTGTGACCAGTCATCCACCTGATTCTTCCACTACCATGAGTAGGAGTTGGTCCCAGCTGCCATGGGGTCCTCACAATGATGGACCATGCCCTCTAAACTGTGAACCAAAATAAACCTCTCCTCTGTAAAGTTGCTTCTGTAAGCCATTCTGCCATAGTACTGAGGAACGTAACAAAGATGAGCTATCCATCTGTAGATGTCTGTTGCATAACTTCATGTCTTCCCTCTGTTCTGAATTCCTTTCCACCTGGAAAACTCCCACTAACCTTCAAAACCCTAAGGAAGGGTCACTTGTTGCCACATGCATCCTTTGCAAAGCCCACCAGGTAGATGACCAGTCTCCCCTTGGTATTAGCTACACCCATTTGCAAAGCATTCAGTGTTTCCATGGTAGCCTGAGTAATTTTGCTTATGTATTTCCCCCAATAGGTGAACATTTTTCACAGCAAGGATAATGATGGACGTTGATTATTGAATTATAAAGGAGCTCAGTGAACGCTTCATTAACATATTTTGAGAATCTTATGATGGGCTCAAGGACAAACTCAAAGGCTTTGTCCTCTTATTTTAGAAATTCCTTTTAATCCAGAAGATAAAAAGCAGATTGGGCTCAACACTTCTAGTTGGTTAGGAATGCTTAAAACCTTGATTTTTTTTTTTTTTTTACTTTATTAGTGATGTTTCCTCCAGTATTATTGAAGTGTCCCATGTCAAAATATATGAAAACCAAGAATATCTTCATGTTGGAAGCATTGAACTAATATAAACAAGAAATATTTCTGAGTAAAGGTAAATCTGAATGAAAGCTGAGGATTAGTGGGGGGCGGGGGCAAAAGGCAGAGGTGATACGCATTCTATCTGGAGCAAGGAGCTCTGGAATGTCTAGTATCTTACTGGTCTCGCATTAGCAAATTTCTTTGACTGTTACATACATATGTACAAATAGATACTGGTTTTCTTCCAGTTGTAACAATTTTTAAAGACATTTTTCATTTAAGTCTGTAAAATTTCAAAGTGGGCCTGGTGGTACAGGTCTGTAATCCCAGCTACTTGGGAAGTTGAGGCAAGAAGATTACAACTTCAAGGCCTGCCTGGGCTACAGGATGAGTTCAAAGCCATCCTGGGCAACTTAGTAATAGCCTGCTTTGAACAAAAATGTTTAAGGGCCATGGGTTCAAAGGAAAAATCAACCCTGTTATAGATCCAGAATATTTATTTATTGTGGTTTATCTTTTACTTGTTTAAATAGAGTTCTGATTTAGAGTTGAGATGAGTAAATTAGTAGAGAGTAGGCCTGGTTCCACCTCTGTTTTAACCATCTACCTTCACTTAAAGAACGTTCTGTAGGACTGGAGAGTTGATTCAGTAGTTAAGAGCACTGGCTGCTCTTGCAGAGAACCTGGGTTTCGTTCCCAGCACCCACATGATGACTAACAACCATCTGTAACTCCAGTTCCAGGGGATCCAATGCCCTCTTCTGTGGGCATTGCATGACAGGAGTGCACTTACATGCATGCAGGCAATACACTCATACACATAGAATAAAAATAATAAATAAAATATTTTTATAAACAATGTGTTGAAAAGAACTAATCCATTTATAGGGCAGTGAATTCCCTGAATTGCTCCAGAGGATAATGATAAGGGCTTTTTGATTTATAAATGGCTGGATTTTACATGCTTATATTTAGACATCAGTGTAAGAGATTGAAATTAAAGCTACAGTTTCAAAATCCCTAGGTGCTTCATTTGTTATTAAAAATGATCAAAATGAAAAAAGACAATTTAAGTTTACTTATCCCGACTTTAGCTGTTTTATTAATTTCAAGTTCTTAAATAACGTGTGTAAGATAAAATTTTAATCTTCTTTTGGAGGGTGGTGCTGGTCTATGTTTGATTTATAAAACAATAGAACTTCTTTGAAATACTGCAAATCTATAAATAATAGTATATAGCATTAATAACAAATGCTATTTATTTGATTAGAGGTGGAACTACCTTTTCACAAAATTGGAATGAGATGGCTTTCAAAGCTCTTTTTTTCCTATTTTTTTCTCTGCTTCATTGTCCTCTTCTAGATTTTACCATTTTACTCCACATACATCTGCTTTTTAGATCTACTTGAAGGTCTTTGTGGAAGGTGAGAAAAAAGTTGACTCTACCCTGCATCCTCATGTGGTTCTCCACCTCAGCTGCATGATTGAGCCTGGTACCTGACAGGGGAGTGGGGCATCCCAGATTTACAATTTTTTTTTTAAATAAGACGGCCATAGTACTTAATATTATCTGTGAGAAATGGCATACAGGACCATAGCCCAGGTCACATGATAAAATCATCTCTGAACAATTTAGGGTGGACTTCCTTAGACTGGAGTTTACGTATACTTTCTATGACACCTGCAAGTTCACACATTTGAGAAACACTGACCTCAAGCTTGAACAGCGAAGTTGCTTCATGATGGGAAAGACACTCTGGGCTCCTAGAAGAGTCCCAACATTTGTTTGCTCTGCTTCCAATTCTCTATTCATTTAGCTAGTGAGGTCTCTACTTGCCTCCCCCTCACCCCAATGACCTATTTAAATCCTGGAGCAACCTTGTCATAAGTAATCACTTAATTTGAACCCATTCTGGTTAACAACCTAGTCTATACAGCGTCACGCATGAATTACAGTTCAAGATATCAAACATTTACTCCTACTCATAGTTCATTTTTGGGGGGGGGTCTTTTTGAGACAGGGTCTCCCTGTAGCCCCAGCTGCCCTGGAACTAACTATGTAGACAAGGCTGGCCTCCTAAGTTCTGGGATTAAAGGTGTGCACTACCACACCCAGCACTCATAGTTCAATTTTATTCAACATAATCATCCCTGTCAAAGTCCCCACATTAGATCCCCTAGGTTCTATTTACCACATTAACCTAATTCTTTCTATAGTTTGGTGAAAATTATACTCAAGATAATGCCTTCCTCTGAGTGTCATACAGTATGAAACATGGTGTATAGCAAGAAGGAGCCCTAGAGAGTGAGATAAGAAAGAAAGTCAGAGCCTTGCCCCGACCCCTGTATTATCTTGGCAATGTTTCTTCATATCTCTAAGCCAAAATCTGGTCATCTGGTACAAGGATCCCCATATTAGCCACAGGTTTGCTATGACAAGTCAAATAACAGCTATGGAAATGTGCTACCTCCATCCTGTCACCAGCATGAGATTCTCTTATTCAATTACTATGAGGTCTTTGACCTAGGCCACAAAAACCTGGACTTATCTAGAACTAAATCATGGCACTGTCTTCTGTTTCACTTTAGGCAACTTACATTTCACCTAAGCCTTGTCTTTTTGGTGAAAAAAATATAGGGTTAATAATATCATCTCGTAGGATTATTTTTAAATATTTTATAAGACAATAAATGCAAATTCTTAGCCTGGGTAAATGCTCAAAAGCTCGTAGCAATTTCCAAATGATGATTGAGGTTTAGAGTATACACTTTCACTGTCATTTTATGTAATTCCACAAGAATGAGAACCTTGGGAAACTATCAGGCCTCGGGAACTGAAAATACTGAGACTGAGTCCTGATCCAAATTCCTAATTAAGTTCTTGAACTTTTAGCACAAGAGGAAATAGCCTCAAGAACGTGTTGCTAGGGATGTTTATACAAGCCAATCTTGAATGTTTCTTCTCTTGTTTATACATCCCCTAGATGAGGATGGAGGGAAGACACAGGGATGATGCCTTGGTCTGCATCTTTCCTTCAGCTGATAAGCAGTGACTGAAGCTGAGGAAGTTTCCTGCAGCTACAAAAACATAAGAGACTTTTTTCTCTCCTTACAGACTTGTGGCCAAAAGCATCCAGAAGTAAAAAAGAAAAATGACCAGTGAGGAACCACAGAAACACCCTGAAATATCCCTGGAGGACGTACTATGTATCTGAATGTATCAGCACTGTTCCTATTTCTATCATTTCGTAGTTGACACATGACTCAGGAAGGAAGAGACACCTCTGAGAATTAGTACAAATGATATCTCAGAAATTACTGAAATACGTGTTTACAGTTTACCGTCAAATATGTTTACAGCACATTCTTATGAAAGATAAGAAAGATGCTATGCCTATGAACTCTATCCCCTAGTAGATGTCCATTAGTATTTTCTCATGAAGTAAATTTGCCCGAGAGACTCAGACATTCTGTCCCAGCTTAGTAAAACCCCAAATTAATATTAGACAAGTATAATTTCCCTCTTGGTCTCAGTTAGGCAGTTCATTATGTCCAAATCTAAGGGAACTACAGAAAATCAGCAAGCAAGGTGCTCATGGCCTGAGATCCACGTCCCTCAGTCGCCATCAATTGCTTGGATCTGTTGGATCTGTAATACTTTTTATTTTCTGCCACTTACCAAGGGCTTGGTTTCATCTTCATCTTTAAAATAATAGAGCTGATCTCCCTTGAGCACAAACCAGCGGGTATGCCAAGTCTTGACAAAGCCTCCTTGCTTCCTCAGCCACCCACACTTGGTGGCATTTTGCCGCCCTTGGCCTTGGGGGTTCTCGGCAGAGTCATTGTTCTCCTCCATTTTCAAGCTGATGGAAGTTCCTATTTAGAAACAGAAGGGAAGAAAAAGAATAAGTTGGTCTGTTCCAGTCAACTCTCTTTAAACTACAACCATCCTTTAGGAAGAAGAAAGAAATGAGAAGAAAAGAAAGAAGGAGGAGGAGGGGTGAAAAATGTATATCCACTCACTGGCCAAATTTCTAGAAGCAAGCCAATGGCATGCCCAAAGGGGGCTTGGAGAGAGCTCCGTGTACTTGCCTGCCTCCTAAGGAGCTCTCTAGCTGGGGAGGAAGAGCCTTTTCTTCCTGAGTACAACTAAGGAATGAGAAAGTTCTAGAAGAATGATCATAAACAACTATATTTTCAGTATCAAGGCTGTGTGTTTGCTCTTCATTGCTGGGGCATGTGCAGGCCTGCCTGTGGTTACCTGAGCAAGCACTATCCCACACATGTTAAAGCTTAAAGGGCCTATTTTAAAAACCTCAATGGAAGACATTTGGTTTGCACATGTGAAATTTTCTCAAGATGTAGCTCCCCTGCTTCCTCCAGAACATCCACTGGACTGTTTTCTCTGCTGGTCAGGAATTTGTGCAGCTAAAAATGTTTAGGAGAACACACACACACACACACACACACACACACACACACACACACAGACACACACAGACACGAAAACAAAAAACCTGCTTGGCCGGTAGAGTTTCCATTTCCCCCACAAACCCCCTCAAACTTCAGGAATGAGGGGGGCAACCCGTGGTCCAGGACAAATGAAGAATGATTTTAGACTATGAGTGAAGAAATCCAAAGCCATTCACTTTATACATAGCAAGAAAATAAGATACTGAGAGGGAAAATCAGCAGCAGCAGTAACAAACTCGAATGGCAGGAGCTCAGGGTAGGCTTTCTGGGAGATCCCGTCTAAAAGAAGTCAAGAATTAAGAGATTGTGTGTGTGTGTGTGTGTGTGTGTGTGTGTGTGTGTGTGTGTGTGTGTGTGTGTGTGTGTGTGATGTCTCAAAGGCTTCCCCCAATTTCTTGCTGATGTTTATTTCTAAACATTTATTAAGGAAGTAGGAAGTACACTCTCACCCAGTATCTTTAGATGAAGATATAAATATAGAGTTAACTCATGAAACAGACTATTCTTGCTAGGGAGTTTTCTGTTCTTACTAGCCTTATTTTTGCTACTAATTTTCCAACCACTTTTATGTTCAGAGTTCTAATTACAAAGACTCGCATTTCCATGGTCAACCCTTGCTTATCTGTGTTTCTTGGAGACCAACTTTCCGCCACTGGGTCTCATTGACTTCTTGAATGCAATCCTCCCACTTCACTAGCAATGGAGCAGAACTTTGGTTCTAATTACTTTTTCTTTTGTTTATATCAACCACCTTCTCAGTGCTTTGCTTCCTCCACTGGTATGCATGTCAATCTTCTCCATTTTTCTTTCAATTTTCTCTCTAAACTATTTCCTATTTCAGACTTCAATTAGGTCACTTGACTATTCTCCAGGTCCTTTGGTATCTGTTAACCATTTTGATGCAGAAATGCCCTTCTGGTTGGTAACCTTGCCTCTGTGGAACATCTTGAAACTCTCCTCTCCACCGGGCATTCCCATGGCAGCGACCACTGACTGCGGGAACGTTCTTTGCTTCTATGTGACTGTGTGTGCAGATTGAATCATGCCTGATGCTTTAAGTTTGTTATGCCCCGAGGGCAGGAGCTTTCATCTTCTTTCACGGCACTTGAACTAAGTAAGCTTTATTCTAAATGAACAATAAATACTATTATATAATTTAAATAATGAGTATGCTCATTTAGACCACCCTAAATAATCTTTATTCTTGTCTCTTAGTATTTAAATAATTCAAATCTGCACAAGTTATACCTTCACTATTTATTTATTCTTTGATCAAACAACTCATAAAGTTAAATAAGACCATAAAACAAGCATTCTAACACACACAGTATGTATACACACATATGCATGCAAACATACACATAACTCTATAATATATTACGGCAAAATAAATTCTTTCCTTTGAGCCCTTTTAATCTTCCTTCTCAAATTGATGCTTTCTATTAAGTTTTTAAAAATTCATTCTAAAGCTTTTCAAGGTAATTAGCAAACTACCATCAATAATGTTGAAATACAAGCAACCAACTCCCCATTTTTCTGCTGTTAGTGAAAAATATGTGTGTATTAGAACATGGTTTATGCCTCTTCTGCTTCTGTTGTTTATATATAACTAAAGCCATGGGAAGTGCTGCCCACTGAACTTCTGGCAAAGCTGGCAATAATTTAATGACTTCAGAATACATCATCAAGTATTTGAATAATACTAATTAGATTATTAAAACAAATGAAAATGATTCATCATATCCCTAAGGAAAAAACTGACACGACTATGGCTAGGTGAAAAAAATACTGACAAAAATAACTATGACTTTTCTAGAGAAGTAGAGACTTGTTGAGAAATAGAATCAAGTTCTACCTTCATCTTTAAAATAAAGATTATGGACTGGGATCACTAACTGTGGACCCTTCCCGTACTCTCAAGTGGATCAGCTCTGCAGTTCCCTAATTGTAGGGACACTAAGTATCCAGGTATCTTCCACACCCAGTACAGCAACTGCTGTGGGGTGAAGGTCAATCGATTTTGATGAATTAATAAATGTTGCATTAGGCCTTATGTTGGGTGGCTAATAGGGAACATGATCTGCCTCTGAAATCTGATCCTTCCCCAAAGCTGATCCTAGAACCTGACACAGTCAGATGGCCAGTCAAGAAAGTCAAAAGTGATCATTTACTTGTCAATCTCCCTCAACCCCAGATATCAAATATGAGTAAATTCAAAAGATAATACGTCCCCAAATCCTTCCCTCTGTCTACTGGGTTCCAACCATTATCTTCTGAGGAGACAGTTCTCACAGCCTTCCTGTTAGTCTCACTTGCTTCCATTTCAAACCACAACACAAACACATGGGCACACGCTCACCAAACTTTACTCTCCCAAAAGCAGCCAAAGTAATCTTTAACATATTCAAATCAGATAAGGGCTCAAACTTTTATTGACTTAGCATGTGCTTATTTCAAAGCCCAGTCTTCTTGTGGTTCCTAAGGCTCTGACTCACCAGGCTCCTGTTTACCTCTGCAGCCTAGACCAATCCCACCCACCCACACACTTGCACAATAGCCACAGCAGCGTCCTTTAAATTTGGAAATACTCAAGCTCCTTTAATACCAAGAGTCTTGACTTGACTCTTGTTGATCTCTCCAGAATGCCCTGCCTTGGCTCCTGCTGTCTTTCATCTGAGTATCAGCCTAAAATCCACCTCTTTCAGCAAGCCTCTCCAACTTGTCCTGTGAATTAGTTCAACTCTCGATACTCTTTGTCTTTCAAGTCTGGCCCCTGCTTTTCTAACATTTTCCTAAATTGCTAGTTATTTGTGGGGATTGTCTGTTTGTCTTACAGGTTTTTTTTTCTGTTTGTTAGTTTGGCTTGTTGTTCTTTGCTTCATGAGCTCATGATCACGATTTTCTTCCCTTAAGTACTCCAATGCCTTTCACAGTGCATACCCATTACTCAGTAAACACCAGCTGAATGGACAGATGATGCTATGTAACAACCACCACAGAATTCCTACAAAGAATATCTTGAAGTACACTTTCTCACTGCATTTAATACCATGTAATTTAAAAACCTGGATTTTTTTTTCCCTCTGACATGGAGATTTCAGTAAGCATGCAATATCACAATGAATAACTTGAATAACCCCAAAAACCCCAAAGAACTCTACCAAAAAAAAAATTGAATAGACTTTAAATTCTCATCTTTTAGCCTTGGTAGTAAATACATATAACTACTTGTGTATTAGCTTAAATCAAGTAGTTTAGGCACTTTAATTCTCAGAGCACGATTTCACTGAATCTTAGTTGGGCAAATCCTTTCCTTTAGAGTTAGACCATGGCAGCTGAGTGGTACATGGGATTACAAAACACAATTACCAACTTCATTACTAATCAGCATCACAAGGACAATACTGCAACAAGGTAAAGACATGGCAACTCCATGCCAAAATAAAAGGCAGTACTGAAAAATTAACTGGCCTCTTCATATCACTCTTGGGAAAAGCCTTAATGGGCTCCTGTGCTGTGCCATCGTAGAGGGGCCAAGGATGTGCCCATCCCCATCATTTGATGGGCTTGTAGCTTTGAATTGTATTAGAGTGGCAGAAAGTGATTCTCACATCTATTAATGTGATTATCTTTCGCAAGAGAGGAATTAGGGGCACATGGTGTGATCAGAAGGAAACTCATGCTCCTAACAGAATTTTCCCAGCACATGCAGGTATTTAGATGGTGATTTTATGTGAACAGAGAATAAATATCCAAAGATGCATATAAATAGAATGCCAGATGCCACAGAGTTGTAATATATCTGAATTTAGCTCTATAGATTCAACTGCATGTATCCACAAAATACAAGAGGATAAGATGGAAGGAAGGAATGAAAGTAAAAAACAAGGGAAAGAGCAATTTTTAAAGCATAGACAACCCCATGGGATGCCTGCGCTTCAGTCAGTGAGCATGAGCTCCATAGTTGTGTGACGTGGGGCACGCCTGTCTGCAGCCTCCGAGGACCCCCTCAGCTGTGATGGGATGAGTATTTCACTATGCGAGGTTGAGCCCAGAGCCTGGGTGCCCGTGGTTTCGTGCCACATAGACCCCCAACACAAACATATGACTCTTGTGGGCCAAAGAACAAGGATCTGTTCTATCCTGAGGAAGAAAACTAAAGCTGGAAATGTTGGAAAAGTGCTGTAAAGAAAGTAAAGAAAGCGAGAATAAACTCAGGGCCCTTTCAAGTTACCATAATAAATTCAATTGCCTTTTGACTTTTTGTTTAGACTTCCTAGAATTCATCTCAGTGCTAAGCAATCTCTACTAGATTCTTTGTGATATTAGAGTTATAATGCTGATTCTTTCGTTGTTCCTTATGTAAAGAAATGGTGTGGTGGAATGAAAGCAGAAAAGGAGCT